TGCTCAGAATATTGATAAGGAGTTTATTGATTTGTTCAGGACAGTTGATTCTTTCAAGTGATTTTTTGATTGCTGATTATATAGAAAAAATATTATTAATTTAATTATTAAAAAATTAATAAGAAAAATTAATAAAAATAATATATTTATTATTTAATTTTTTATTTTTTTTAATAATAATACTTGAATAATATTTATTTACAAATATATATATATATAGTATAATGCAAAAAAAATAATTATTTTTTTATAATTAGATTTTAATTAATAATTCAATAAATAGTTATTTCTATAATTTAATATTTATTAATATATTTTTGAAGATATAATAAAAAAAAATCAATTTTTAAAATAATAATAATAATTTTTTTGATATACAGTGGCACTTGTTTATTTGCATAAAGTTGGAACATATGTCAGATTTTTATAAGAATTCTATAAGTTGAGACTAAGTAAAAAATATGTATTTGTACATTTTTTACATAGAATATGCAAATAAACAATATATAAATAGACAGATGTCACTGTACTCTGTTTTAAGATTAAAAATATTATAAAAAATTTAATACAGAAATAAGATTATAAAAATTTTTTTATCTATCCTAATTATGTTTAATATATTGTATATAAAAAAAAAGGTAAAAAAATTTTGTTATAAATTTTTTATTACAAAAATTAAATTATTTTAATATATTAAAACAATATTAAATAAGGTTGTTTATAAGATATTTAATTATATATTAAGTTATAAATAAAAATGTAATTATCATTTTTTTGTACTATACTGTATATATATAAAGTTAATTTTTTTAAAGAAGAATTTTTATTTTTATTATAAGAAAAATAATAATAAGTTGATTTTTTTTTAATAACCTTATATTAATAAACATATAAAATTATTTTGTTATTAAAAATCAGGAATAGTATTATTTTAGTATCAAGTCAATATTAAATTTTTTATGAATTTCATATAGCAAATTATAATTTATATATTAAATTTATTATAAATTAATATTATTTCAATATCATTTCTGTATTGGTTTAAAATCTTACTAAAAACACAAATAGATTATTAATTTAATAAATCAAAAAACTTTTTTTTCTTATTGTTTTAAATTAATATTTATTTTTTTAATAATTGATAAATAAATAAAAATTTTTCTAAAAAATTAACAGTTCTTTATACTACAGTATATACATATAAACTTTTCTATTATTAATAAAAGGAATAACCATTTTATTAAATGTCATGTCTATGATTAAACATTAAAAATATTCTATAATGCATAATATTTATTGTGAACAAGATATTTATTTTTATTTATCGATTGGTGTTTTGACATCTGCCACACTGCATTTTTGTTTATTTCCGGTGTGATTATTCAATAATATCCAAATAATATGCTGTATATTTTTTCTATTTGATTGTAAATTTAATTTTCCTTGCATCTACAAAAGATACATATTCGTGGTGATAAATTTATATATTTCTCTGAGAGAAACGAATCATTCGGTCGTGCAGTGGTGCAATTTTTTTATAAGTTCAATTGGTTCAACCGATATTGTTCGTACGGCACCGACGAACTTATCCATCGGTCGATTCCGTAGATGAGTGATTAAACTCATCTCAGTTGCAACATGTGATTGATTTAAAACTTGCGATAATATGCTCACCCTGGGAAGATTAATGGGTAACGCGCGTTTAAGAGCACCGAAAAGGATATTTGTGAAATTCACCCCCCAATATGACAATTACAGGACTGCAAGCTGATCAGATTGTGCAGGAAAAAGTCCTTTTTTTGAAATTTTCACAATGAGCCCAATTTTGATTGATGCTTGAATGTGAGTCATTGATATTTCGGTAACCTTAAGCATAACCTTATCAGGGAATTTGAATTTTCATCATCATTTTCCAAGAAGGTGTGCGAAGGTGTGCAATGATAAGAAATTTTCACCAAAAGTGTGCAATCTATACCTTTTAATACTGAACAGAGACGCATCTACTAAACAAAAAAGGTAAGCGGATACATATTTTTGAAATAACTTTTTCCACTTCAAAAAAAAAATACTGTTGTTGTCATCCAAGAAAGGAAATTAAATATTTAACTTAACGTCCGTCCGTGTAGCATCAAATAATTTGTACGTAACAAGCACGCATTGTGTGACTCAGTTTACGTAGGATTATCATTAAAAAATGTCTATAAATATGAGCCCCTCTCACTTTTGATATGAATCTTTCTCCTTTGCTATCTTGTTAGAAGAAAGCAAAGGTAAAAACATAGAAAATGCCCGCCTCACCTCGTTTAAACGATGATCTTATCATCGAGATCATTCAACTTTTACAAGATGATGTCACATCCATTTACAAATGCCTACTTTGCTGTCGTGGCTGGTGCAGACTCTTCGTACCTGTGCTTTGGCGACGACCCTTTAGTAAGATAGGCACACCCTCCAATTATAAACTTCTGTTGAGAACCTACATCATGTGCTTTAATGAAGAAGAACTCGCAAACCTGATTCCGAGTAAGATCAAACTTCCCGAAATGAGAAAGCCCATATTTCCATATGCCAATTATTTAGAAGAATTATCGGATTGTAACCT